CTTCAATCGAAGCAAGAACGCAAAAGCAATGAAGATTAAAAGTTCATGAGCTTGCGTTACAATTGCGGCGGTTACGAAGTGAATTTGTGGGGTGACTCACTATGGAGTTGGGACCATTTGGGGTTGGGGAAATTCGTCACTCCACTGTAGAAGTTGCAAAGCGAAGCCAAGCCAAGCGAAGCCAAGCAAAGCCAAGCGAAGCCAAGCGAATCCAAGGGAAGCAAAGCAAAGCCAAACGAAGACGAGCGAAGCCACGCGAAGCAAAGCGAAGCGAGGCAAGCCAAGTGAAGCCAAGAAAAGCCTTGCGAAGCGAATCGAAGCCAATCGAAACGAAGCCGAGCCAAGCGAAGCAAAGCGAAGCGAAGCGAAGCGAAGCGAAGCGAAGCGAAGCGAAGCGAAGAGAAGCGAAGCGAAGCGAAGCCAAGAGAAGCCAAGCGAAGCCAAGCGAAGCTAAGCAAAGCCAAGCCAAGCGTAGCGAAGCGACGCGAAGCGAAGCCAGACGAATCAAAGCAAAGCCAAGCGAAGCCATGCAAAGCCAAGCAAAGCGAAGCAGAGCCAACCGAAGCCAAGCAAAGCCACGCGAAGCCAAGCGAAGCCAAGCGCAGCCGAGCAAAGCCAAGCGCAGCCAAGCCATGCGAAGTAAAGCCAAGCGAAGCCAAGCGAAGCAAAGCGAAGCCAAGTGAAGCCAAGCGAATGGAAGCAAATCCACGTGAAGCCAAGCAAAGCCAAGCAAAGCCAAGCGAAGCCAAGCGAAGCCAAGCGATGCCAAGCGAAGCCAAGCGAAGCTAAGCGGAGCCAAGCAAAGCCAAGCAAAGCCAAGCAGAGCGAAGCGAAGCCATGTGTAGCCAAGCAAAGCGAGGCAATGCCACGCGAAGCGAAGCGAAGTGAAGGAAAGCCAAGCGAAGCCAAGCGAAGCGAAGCCAAGCCAAGCGAAGCCAAGCCAAGCGAAGCGAAGCGAAGCCAACCGAAGTCAAGCAAAGCGAAGCGAAGTGAAGTCAAGCGAAGCAAAGCGAAGCGAAGTGAAGCGAAGCGAAGGAAAGTGAAGCCAAGCGATGCGAATCGAAGTCTAGCGAAGCCAAGCGAAGCCAAGCGAAACCAAGCAAAGTGAAGCAAAGCCAAGCGATGCCAAGCGAAGCCAAGCAAAGCGAAGCAAAGCCAATGGATGGCAAGCGAAGCCAAGCAAAGCGAAGCGAAGCCAAGCGGAGCCAAGCAAAGCCAAGCAAATCCAAGCGAAGACAAGCAAAGCGAAGCAAAGCCAAGCGAAGCCAAGCAAAGCCAAGCGAAGCCAGGCAAATCCAAGCGAAGCCAAGCGAAGCCAAGCAAAGCCAAGGGAAGCCAAGCGAAGCCAAGCGATGCCAATGGAAGCCAAGCGAAGCCAAGCGATGCCATGCGTAGCCAAGCAAAGCGAAGCCAAGCGAATCCAAGCGAAGCCAAGCGAAGCCAAGCGAAGCCAAGCGAAGCCAAGCGAAGCAAAGCAAAACAAAGCGAAGCGAAGCCAAGCGAAGCGAAGCCAAGCGAAGTGAAGCCAAGCAAAGCGAAGCAAAGCCAAGCCAAGCAAAGCCAAGCGAATCGAAGCGAAGCCAAGCAAAGCCTAGCAAAGCCAAGCGAAGTGAAGCCAAGCAGAGCGAAGCAAAGCGAAGCGAAGCAGAGTCGAGCGAAGCTAAGCGAAGCAAAGCCGAGCGAAGCCAAGCAAAGCAAAGCAAAGCGAAGCCAAGCGATGGCAAGCAAAGCCAAGAAATTCCAAGCGTAGCCAAGCAAAGTCAAGCAAAGCCAAGCGAGGCCAAGCAAATCCAAGCAAAGCCAAGCGAAGCCAAGCAAAGGCAAGCAAAGCCAAGCGAAGCCAAGCAAAGCGAAGAGAAGCTCGTCCGCATGCGTGTTGAGTTCACGAAGGATCCATTCCATGATTATGCGGACTCGATAGGTAGTACACGTGCGGGTGATCGATTTGCAGGCGAGGGTGAGATCAGGGCTGCATGAGCCACCTTTCTTCAAGATGAAGAAGACTCCATGACTATCCACGTGCACGAGCACGTGTTTGTTCCGGAGTAGGTCACTGTATGTCTGCAATGCCCACAGTACCCCTTCAATCTCGCGACGATTGCTGGACGTGCGTCGTTAGTCTACTGGCATGTTCATGCTGGCTTCACGAATGTTTCCAGAAAATGTGTCAAGGGTGGTGCCCCAGCCATGGCCGCTTGCGTCGACGTAAATTATAGCATCGTAGCTGCATCGCATATGAAAAGGCACACCATTGTAGTGGTCAAACTCAGTTGACTCGAATTCCAGCTCCTCACAAGCGGAAGGCGATAGCAGGAGTTTGTTGTTCCATGAAGTAGCGTTATTGACAGTCTGCAATAGTGCATGGCTAAATGCCCGAGCAGTGGCCCTGAGTGCGAGCACCATTGAAGCGAGCATGCCTGTAACATGTGCGACATGCTGGACGGGGACTGTGGACTGGTTATGTCCAGCTTCTAGGAGCAACTGGATGGTAGATAATAGGGAGTTGTGTTGTTCCGAACCCACTAAGAATTGGCAGAGTTCGGTGTCAAGTTCCAAACCCAGGAAGCGCGGACGTTGGGTGGGACGAAGTTGGGATTTCTGTGCATTGATCACTAGGCCAGTGCTGCATAGATCACAAATAATTTGGTTGCAGGTGTCCAAGACGTCGGCTTCAGACTGACAAAAGAAGAGGATGTCGTCCACATACGGTATGACCCGCACTCCCTTCATTCTCCAGTGTCGTGCAAGCTGCTTGATTAAATGTGTGAAGATGAAAGGAGCTGTAGCCAATCCAAATGGAAGGGAGCAGAAGCAACATGAGCATCCTTCGAATTGGAAACCCAAGAATTTCCAGCATGACGGATGAATGTCGGCGTGGTGATACCCAGACTTCAGGGCGATTGAGAACATCCAATCACCCGCGTGCGCCAAGTCGGCAATACGAGAGAGTCCCTCGTACTTGAATGTAGGAATTTGCAGTTCCTTGTTGACATAGCACAAATCGAGGATGAGGAGACATTTGTCATGCTGTTCTACGACGTTGAGAGGGATGACACATGTAATCGCTGATTCTGGCACCTTTGCTACCGCACCGGTTTGGAGGAGGTATGCAATAGCCGAATTTGTGAATTCCGCATGAATTTCGCCTCCTCCATGGTTGGATTTCCGAAATGGTTGTGGGGGGCCATGTTTCCAGGGCATCTAGTACCCTTTGTCAATGACTGGTATGATCAAGCCACTGGTGCACCATGACGCTACCAGGTTAGCGAATTCCGCAGGCGGCCGCGCATGGTGGACATTGTCCAGTCAGTAACGGCATATTCAAAGGGATCTCCAGGTCGTTATGGGTTGTGCACAAATGTATCTGCCATGGGAATCCAATAAAAGGGAAAAATGTGCCAGAAGCACTAGGGAATAAGTGCTAAGTGTACCCCATACAGGTGTGTTTGTGCCTGTGTGTCTCTATGTGTATGTGTGTGTGTATATGTATGTGTATGTATATGTGTGTGTGTGTGTGTGTGTGTGTATTTGTATGTGTCTGTGTATGTGTCTGTGTATGTATATGTGTGCCTGTGTATGTGCGTGTGTGTGTGTGTGTGTGTGTGCGTGTGTATGTGTGTGTGTGTGTGTGTATGTGTGTGTGTGTGTATGTATGTGTGTGTGTGTATGTGTGTGTGTGTATGTGTGTGTGTATGTGTGTGTGTGTGTATGTGTGTGTATGTGTGTGTGTGTGTGTGTGTGTGTGTGTGTGTGTGTGTGTGTGTGTGTGTGTGTGTATGTGTCACAGGATCGAATGTGTCGAGGAAAAGTTGCACTATCAATTGATACAAGGCGCTTTTATAGTTCCAAAGTACATGAGGTAACCAGGTTTATCATATCCAAAGGGAATAAACCCTTCTAGAAATAGAATCACCCTGCGTATAGCCAAACGAGGCTTTTGGCTTTAAGGGATTGTGCTAGATTACGCTAGATATAGCACGCCAGTACATCCCGAGCCTGATCGATGATATAATGATCATAACAGGATCAACCAATGGATAATGGAATAGGAGGAAAAGGAAACCAAATGAGATGACATAAAAAGAGGAATAAAATGGAAAGGAGATATGGAAAGGGAAATTGGTGTTACGGGGTCGTACTCTCACACTTCCCCCTCTCAAAGCTGGGTGGTAGAAGTAACACCCTACTTGACAAGGTAGTCGCAAAGAAGACGACGAGCATTACCCATCTCGGATTCAGGATCTCAACTATCCTCAAAAGGATCATAACCCTTCCAACAAATGAGAAGCTCCACGGTGCCATTCCGACGACGGCGGTGTGCGAGCACGGACTCGATCTCGTACTCGGGTTCATCGTGGACGAGGATGGGCGGCGGTGGCGGGGGTTGGCGTCCGGTGAAGACCGTGTTAGGGTCTCGATGGGGCTTCAGAAGTTGGACATGGAAGGCGTTGTGAATCTTCCAGGTAGCTGGCAGGCGTAAGCTGAAGGTAACAGGAGGGACCTGTGCTTCAATGAGAAAGGGCCCGCAGAAGCGAGGTCGCAGTTTGGATGGGAGATGACTGATGTTGATATTGCGGGTGTCGAGTAGAACCTGGTCTCCCACGGTGATGGTGTGGTCAGTGCGGTGGCGATCGGCCTGGCGCTTCTATTGCTGCTGAATGTCGAGGAGGCGCTTGTGGGTCCGATCCCAAAGCTGATGCATGGTCGTGATGAAGTCGTGTGTGGGTTGGACTGTAGCTGATGCTGTCAGTTTTTGTGGTGTGAGCGGGTGGCGTCCGCAGCAGAGGAACAACGGCGTCTGTCCAGTAGCAGCATGAGTGGCGTTGTTGTAGGCAAACTCCAGGATAGGCAGGTCCGAGTCCCATTTAGAGATTTCGTCTTTGCATGCTGCGCGGAAAAGTTGCTCTACAATTTGGTTGAGGCACTCGGTCGATCCATCTGTCTGCGGATGTTAGGCGGATGACATGGCGAGTTTGGTCCCAAGCAGAGACATCAGTTCCTTCCAGAACTTGCTAGTGAACTTGGGGTCTCAGTCGGAGATGAGTGTGGTTGGAATGCCATGTTGTGAGATGATGTAGCGAACGAATAGTTGTGCTGTCTCTTCGGTGCGTGCTGTCGTGTGAGTAAGGATGGAGTGTCCCATTTTGGATAATTTGTTAATAATGACGAGGATTGCGTTATGACCGCTTGTAGTAGTTGGTAACCCAGTGCTGAAATCCAGGCTAGCCACTTGCCATGGCTGTTCTGGGACAGGAAGAGGCTGTAGCAGTCCTGCTTTTTCCTGCTTGCTGCTCTTCATCCGCTGACAAATTGCTGGACGTTGGCTGCCATGTGGGGCCAGTAGTAGTGCTTTGCAATACCGGTGAGCGTCTTGTTGCTACCGAAGTGTCCCGCGTATAGGACATCGTGGTATTCTTCGAGTAGTAACTGGCGCAAAGGAGGGTAATTGGGTACCCAGATTTTCGTTGATCCCTTCCGGTATGCGATGCCACTGCCCCACAGTAGCAGGTGTCGTTTTGCTGCCAAAGGAATTTCAGGGTCGATGGCGTACCCGTGTGTGAAGATTCCCTTGAGTAGTGGGTTCATCCCTTCGACCTGGATTGCGGCAACGTGTGCAGGCCGAGTGAGAGCTTCTACTTTGTTTTTGTGGCCGGGCTTGTACACGATGTCATAGTGGAAGTGCGTCTCGAGGAAGTCAATCCACCGGACCTGCCGCCTGGAGAGGTTTGGTTGTGTCTTCAGATATTTCAGGCTGCAGTGGTCGGTGAAAACGGTTGTTTTCCGTCCTTCGAGATAACATCTCTACACTTTGAAGGCGATGATAATAGCAAGGGCCTCCTTGTCGTGTATCGGGTAGTTTAGTTTTGCCCCATGTAGTTTCTTGCTGAGGTAGGCAATTAGTTGCAGTCCATTCCTCTGGTCTTGCATCAAGACTGCTCCCACTGCCTGGTCACTGGCGTCAGCTTTGATGACGTAGTCGCGTTCGGGGTCTGGCAAGATGAGTACAGGTGCAGACGTGAGTGCTTGTTTCAGCTACTCCACGGCTTCCTGATGTTTTGGTTCCCACTTTTAGGGCGTGTTCTTCTTCAGCAGATTTGTGAGTGGTGTTGCAATTTTCGCGTACTGTGGCACAAACCTGTTGTAATAGTTAGCGAAGCCTAGGAACTGCAGCAACTCCTTCACGTTCCCGGGTGTCTTCCACGTGCGTACGGCTTCAATCTTCTTGGGGTCGACGTGAACTCCTTGAGCGCTCACCATGTGTCCTAGGAATTGGACTTTCTCGAGGGCGAATTCGCTCTTGGATAACTTGACGTAGAATCGTTCTCGTCGAAGAATGTCGAAGACGCGTCGCAGGTGTTGGACGTGCTGCTGCATGTCGCACGAGTAGATGAGAATGTCGTCCAGGTACACCACCACGCATTCATCCAAGAGTGGGCATAGGATATGGTTTATTTCAGCTTGCAACGTTGCCGGTGCGTTGGTGAGTCCGAAGGGCATTACCAGATACTCGTACGACCCGTACCATTGTGCGGAAAGCGGTTTTGTGGATGGAATTGTCCGCCATTCATATCTGCCAGTATCTGTACCGAAGATCCAGTTTGGAAAATACCGTGGCTCCCCGAAGCTGGTCAAGCAGGTCATCGATTCGTAGTATTGGGTATTTTTTCTTGATGGTCTGCTTGTTCAGAGCTTGGTAATCGATGCACATGCGCAGGATTCCGTCTGGTTTTGGTGTGACGAGTACTCGGGCACCGTATGGTGAAGTAGATGGTCGGATGAGTCCTTTCGCGAGGAGATACTCGATTTGTTTCTTCATGTCGGCTAGCTTCGTGGGGCTGAGCCAATATGGTGCTCGGAAGGTCGGCTTCGAACGTGGTTCTTCCACGATCTCGTGTTGGTGAGTTCGGTATGGCGGCAGCTCGTTCGGAAGGTCGTCGGGAAGAATGTCTTGGAACTCCTTCAGTAATTCCTTGATGCTTTGTGGAGGTTCTGAATGTCTGGGAGTCGCACGATGCCGTTGCACAGCTTGCCATTAGTCACGCCCTCCCCCTGTTTGAGCGTCCCCTGTTTGAGCGTCCCCGCTTTACCGTTGAAGAAAAAGCAAAAGAGTACTTAGATGCAATCATTGCTCGCTATTCCACTTCCTCCTCAGCCTCTGCTGGCCACCTGATCCTCCCCATGCTGTTCACTGACCTTGCATCCTTCCCCACTGTCGCTGATCTCGTCACTCACCTCCGCGCACTTGAGACTAGCTATCACCGCCGCTTTGCACTACCCGTTACCTCATTGCCACGTGTCTTCCTGACTACCTAGCCACTGCCCGCGACCACTTCCTTAGTCAGCACCCTGGTGACCTCACCCTTACTGCCTTCGTCACCACCCTGTCCATGATAGAGGCCCGCCAGCGCACTATTGCTCAGTCTAGCAGTACTGCGGCGGTCCCCATCTTCCAGGGCTATGCTCCCTCTCAGTCCCCTTACTCAGACGTTTCTGCCACTGTCGGTGAGACAGCCCCTGCTGCTGAGACCGCCGCCGCGGCCTCGCCACAACCGCGTCAGGGTAGGGGCCGCCGCCCCAAGGGGGACGTGGCGGAGGGAAGGGTAGTGGGGGTGTTGGGGGTGGTGGAGGTGGGGGCGGGGACGGTGGTGCAGACAAGGGGATTGGGGTTGACGCCCCGAAGCAGCAGCAGCAACAGGAGCAGCCCCAGCAACAGCCCCAACAGCAGCAATAGCAGTAGCGGCACTCGCTGTGGGAACCCCTGCCGTCGTGGTGGCCTGGCGACGCTGGTGGTGGTGGCCGTAGTGGTGGGGCACGCAGCTCGGTGTCGGGTGGCGGCTCCAGTGTGGTCACCTGCCAGTACCAGTTTCAGTCTAGCCCCCGCCGCGGCACCGTCTGCGACCGTCCGCAGCTACCGCCGCCTTGACGACCTCTTCCGTCTCCGCTTCGGCCCCGTGTCGGACCCTCCCGACTGGTACAGCCTGGTGCATTGCCCTGTCCCTGTTTTTGAGCTTGACATGGATAAGATTAGGTCTGCTCTGTATGCCATGTAAGCTGATGACTGTAGTGTGACTAGACCCTATTACCCAGTGTTGCCTAGTGTAGGTGTGTCCCCCGTGTGTAGTCTAGGTTCCCCTGCTGCGTCAGGCGTAGGACCACCTGCCTTGTTTAGCCTCGGCTCCACCCTAGCTCCTCCGCCTGTGGCTGCTACCACCGCGCTCTTGTTCACGCTAGACTCTAGTGCGTCCGCCTGCTTCTTTTGCGACCACAATGCACTCACGCCACTTGTTGCCCCTGCCCCTGTAGCGCTGGCTCACCTCTCATCAGGTCCGGTAGTTGCTTGTAGCTCCACTACCCTTCCCCATCTGGCGGTTCCCTTGGGCTCTCTTACAGGCCTGCACATCCCCTCGTTCTTCAAGAACCTAGTTGGTGTCGGCTGTCTTCAAGACCTCAGCGTCACCATTACGTTCCCTAGACACGAGCGGTACGCAGTCTGTACCGATGCCGCCACTAGTGCCCCTCTCACCACGTTCCCTCGGGACCCCGTGTCTAGCCTGTTCACCCTAGACACTGCGTCCCCCCTAGTGGGAGCGTCCCCCCAGGTCGTCGCGTCCTCCCAGGTTACTACAGCTTGCTCATGTCGGTCGCTCACCCACCCGTCGCTGTTGCGACACCACCACCTAGGTCACTTCGCACTCCCGCGTCTCCGTCACATGTCCGATCACGGTCTTGTCTTCGGTCTCCGTGCGTCGCTCTCTGCCTCGCTCCCTGCCCTACCTCCCTTGCCTGTGCCGCCGTGCATGCCCTGCATCAAGGGCCAGATGCGCCATGCTCCTAACTCCTCCTGGTTTCCCCCTACCACTGCGCCACTCCAGACCCTGCACCTGGACGTTTGGGGCACAGCCCTCGTCCCTGGAGAGAGCGCTACTTTCTAGTGCTTGTTGGCAACTACAAGCACTACACCACGGTTTTTTCCCTGGAGCGTAAGGTCGACGTGCCTGACGTTCTTAACCTGTGGGTCGTAGCTGTACGTGTCCATCGCGGCCTCCCTGTGCTGCGTCTTCACTTTGACCGTGGTGACGATTTCGCCTCCGGTCGGCTCAGACAGTTCTGTCGTGCGGAGGGCATCACCCACTCGTACACCCTGCCGGACTCCCTGCAAAAGAATGGGGTCATTGAGTAACGCATCGGTTTGGTCATGGAGGTGGCTCGTACCTCCATGATCCATGCTGGTGCACCCGATTTTCTGTGGCCATTCGCTGTTCGCTACGCCGCTCACCAGCTTAAACTGTGGATGCAATCCGCACCCTTCTCTGGACTAGGTTCTCTGGTGACACGTCTGCATTCCATGTCTGGGGCTGCCTTGCTCACGTTCGTGCCTCTGGCATGGACAAGCTCACTGCCCGCACCGTCCCTTGTGTCTTCCTTGGTTTCCCTCTCGACGTGTTTGACTTGCACTTCTACCACCCATCTTCTCACCGTTTCTTTAACTCTCGGGACGTCACTTTTGACGAGTCTATTTCCTTCTACACCCGTTTTCTCCACCGAGGTCTCTCAGGTGCCCTGCCCCCGTTCCTGGTTCCCACTCCCCTGGTAGCTCCTGCTCCTCTCCCTCCCCAACCTGCCCCGTCATGTGTGTCTCACTTCACTCACCTCCTATTGGTTGTTCCGGTGGAGGAGTCGGCTGACTCCAGGGGCCCCGCGGCTTTGTCTCCACCCCGGTGTCTCCTCCTTCTCCTCCGCCGCCGCCACAGCAGTCGCCGTCGCTGCCGCAGCCGCAGCAACAGTCCCTGCCGTCGCAGCCGTAGCAGCAGCCGCTACAGGGGTCCGCGAGTTCAAGGGGTGTGCGGGTTGAGGACGGTGCTAGTCCTGGGGTTACTGTCATAGCTTGTCCTGGCGGTCCTGGGGGCGGCACTGGTGCTGGAGATGGTTCTCATTCTGGGGGTGCTGGTTTTGGGGGTGCTGGTTCTAGGGGTGCTAGTCCAGGGGTTCTTGTCGTGGCTCGTCCCGGCGGTCCTGGGGGTGGCACCGGTGCTGGAGAGTCTCATCCTGGGGGTGCTATCGTGGAGCATCCCGGAGGTCGTCGGAGTGCAGATGGAGGTTCTGGTGTCGGTGTAGAGCAGCAGCAGCAGTCGTCGCCGGTGTCCGCCCTTCTTCTCCTCAATCTTCCCTCCCCTGACCGCCCGCCTACGCCTCACCCGCCTGTCTACAGTCCAGTGTTTCCTCCGCCAGATTCGTTTTTGGCTTATTTTCCCCCGCGTTCTCCTCCAGTGTCTCCTGACCCCACGCCTCCGTCCCACTTCTGGTCTCGTCGTCCCTCTCGTGCTCGTCCTGTCTCACCTGTCCAGAGCTCTTACCCTATTTTGCTTCGTTCCCACGCGTCTTCTCCTTCTCTCCTCCCGTTGCCTCCTCCGTCGTCGCTGGCTGTCGCTCTGCCTCCCTTATTGGACTTCCTCCGTGTCGCTAGTCCTCTTTTACCTCGGGTCCTCGCCTCTCTTGTTACCGACTCGTCTGTTCCTGTCTCCAGTCTTGACGCTCTTGTCGTTGCCGTCACTGACTTTGCCGCTACCCGCCGCCTTGACTACGCCACCGCTCTGGTCTCTGATCCTGCCCGTCCTCCATCCGTTGGGGGTGCTCCTATCCTTGTCAGTGACGTCGTGGAGGACCGGCAGTATGAGCTTGCTTTCCTGTCCGAGACCGCGCCTCATCTCTGCTCCATGCCGCTAGTCCCTGAGGGTGACCAAGATGCCCTTGACATCCCGACCCCTCGCACTTACGCTGAGGCGACCTCGGGACCCTGTTCCTCTCGGTGGATAGCTGTCATGGACGCGGAGATGACATCTTGGAGATCTACCGGCACCTACATCGACGCAGTTCCCCCGCCTAGGGTGAACGTAGTTGATGGCCGATGGCTCTTCAAAGTGAAACGCCCTCCTCAAGAGCCGCCAGTTTTCAAGGCGCGCTACATTGCTAGAGGCTTCAGTCAGCGCGAGGGTGTGGACTTCTTTCAGACCTTCGCCCCGACCCCAAAGATAACTCTTCGGGAACTGCTCCACGTAGAGGCACAGCGTGACTACGAGCTGCACTCTTTGGACTTCTCGACAGCATTTCTTTAGGGCAATCTGCACGAGCAGGTCTACCTATGTCGCCCGCCAGGCTTCACCGACACTTTCGCCCCGAGGACCCAGTGGCTCCTCCGGCGCTTGGTTTACGGCGTGTGGCAGGTGCTGCACGAGTGGCCTGAAACGCTTTGTGCTACCTTAGCTGACCTGCAGTTCTTCCTGTCCTCTGCAGACCCTTCGCTCTTCGTTTGTTCAGGCAAACCTTGGTCTACATCCTTGCCTACGCAGACGACCTGGTCTTTGCTACTTCAGACAGAGATGCACTGGCCTCCGTGAAGGCCGAGCTGCTGAGGAGACACACCTGCACTAACCTAGGAGAGCTATGCCGCTACCTTGGCCTGCAGATCTCCAAGGATAGATCAGCGTACACCATCACTCTCACACAGTCACACTTGGTACGCTAGGTCCTTCAGAGGTTCGGTCTGCAGTTCTCCTCCGCACATCCCACACATCTGCCAGTAGATTACAGACTCTCAGCTCTAGTCCCTGAGGAGTCTGTACAGCTTAGTGGTCCGTACGCAGAGCTGGTGGGTTGCCTCATGTAATTGATGACTTGCACTCGTCCAGAACTTGCATACCCTCTCAGCATCTTGGCTCGCTTTGTGGCTACAGGCAGACACCGACCGCAGCACTGGTCGGCCGCTAAGAGGGTTTTGCGTTATCTAGCAAGTACATCGGGCATGGGGCTAGAACTAGGAGGACACAGGCTAGTGGTCCTTACAGGGCACTCAGATGCTTCGTGGGCAGACGACGCTGCGACTCTCAGGTCCTCCTAGGGCTACTGCTTTAGCCTTGGTGCAGGTGCCATCTCGTGGAGGTCCACCCGCTCGTCGCCGGTTGCCTAGTCTAGCTGTAAGGCTGAGATCTACGCTGGTGCCATGGTGGCATAGGAGCTCCGCTGGCTGACCTTCTTGCTCACAGACTCAGGTGAGCGGCCTAGCTTTGCCCCAGTCCTGTACGCTAACAACATGTCCATGATTCTCCTGTGTCGGGGGGGCTAACAAGAGGTCAACAGGTGCGTATATCCAGGGGAATACGGTATAGGCTAGATAGTTGCACTCTTATAGAGAGTACAGCCCTAACTACCCTGTATCA